TTATTAGCTAGATTTTAGCTAGAAAAAACCTAAAAGGCAAAGATAGCTTAAATAGTTAATACTAACCCTATCCTAACCCTAACCCCTTTATCTTAATAATAAAAAGTAAAGAGAGATAAGTATAATAGCAAGCCTTCTTAAACTGCAGCTTAAAGAGTATAGCTAGGCCTTATAGTTATGCCCCCTTAAGTTATAGTTTAAAGAAGCTAATATTAAGTAAAGAGAATTAAATAATAAATATTATACTAACCCTAAGCTAATACTAGCTAACCTTAAGTATAAGGTTAGGGTTATTTTTTATTAATTAGCTACTTAATTTAGTATTATTTAATTTAAGTTTAAAATTTAAGTAAAATTATTTATTTTAATAGCTAATATACAGTTAATTGTCTGTAAATAATACCTAGGGTTAGGGTTATTTTTTACCAATTAGCTGCTTAATTTAGTATTATTTAATTTAAGTTTAAAATTTAAGTAAAATTCTTTATTCTGGTGGCCGATATATGGTTAATTGTCTGTAAATAATAGCTAGGTGGTTGGCGCTGTGGTATATGCAGTAAAAGCGGGCATAATGTAAGGACTTGTTAGGTAGTTCTTAAGTTATCTGGGGAGGAATTTAGTAAGTAAAAGCAAGCCTTTTTAAACTATAGCTTAAGCTTTCAAGCTATAGGTTAAAAAGGCTAAAGAAAGTATAACACTTACTTATCTGTAATGCTTGCTTATTAACCACGTTATATATAAAATAATTATAATAATTAAATTAAATTAATTAGTTTATTAATTATATAACTTTAAAAAATTTTAAAATTCGTTATAAAAATCTTTTTTAAAAATTTCTTTTTTACTTTTAATTAATATAATATTATTATATTTACTTAACTTATAATTAATTATAGTAATTAAATATTTATTTTTTATAAATTTAATTAAAACTTTTTTAATATATTTTTTAATTATAAATAAAATTTTATTATTTAAAAAATAATAAGTATTTAAATTTTAATAAATTTTAAAAATATATAAAAATATTTTTAAAAGCTAATTTATAAATATATAAAAAAAATAATTTCTTTATAATTATAAATTAATATATTATTTTAAAAATATTTTTTTTTAACTTATAATAATATTAATTTAAATTTATTAAAAATAATAAATTTAAATTTTTATTTTTATTAATCTAATTTTTATTAATATATAATTTTTATTAAATTTAAATTTATATTTACTTTATAGCTAAAATAAATTAATAAGTAATATATAATATAAATACTTTAAGTAAATCCTTATATATATATAGCCTTTTCTCTTTCCTAACTTTATTATATAGTTAATAGCATTAAACCGCAGTCCACCTATAACCCCAAATCCTCCCCTCCCTCCCAATCCACCAAACCCAAACCTCCCTCTCCTCCACCGCCCTCGCCGCCAACACCATCCTCTCCTCACTCCCCTCCCCAACTTTCCTCGCCGTCCCCTCCGGCAACTGCACCTTAACACTCCACGACGGCCTCGTCTCCTCCACCTCCTCCGTCCTAGCAGTAACAAGCTGCCCTTCACCCCCAAACCACCAAACCCTCAACACCTTCCCGCCCACCATCACAGCCGCAACACTGGATCTAGGATGCGCATTTCCAACGCCGGCGACGATGCTAACATGCCACCTCGCCTTTGCACTTCTCCCTCCCATCCGCACAGCCATATGCACAGCTCCCTTCTCGGTGATCCACCATAGTCTAGAACTCTTCCCGTCATCCGCCAACGCAGCCAGGGAGGAAAGAGGGGACGCATTAACAGCATCAACACCCTCATCCCAAAACCCATACAAGAATCCAACCGCATCGTCGTCGAGCGCACACTCTCCATGAACACGCCCCGCATCCGTTATCCAGGCTACATCGGCCATGTCGTTGTCCACAGATGCGGCGGCAAGACGACTCGGTGCGCGCAGCTTGGTGGTGTTAGTGGTAGTGGCGGAGGAGTTGTCAGTGACACCGCCTGGGCCCATATCGCCGTAGACCAGGTAATTAGGCGTACTCCACTCCTCGTTCTCGGCGTCGAAGGAGGACTTTAATAAACGGCCGTAGGACCCAAGCCACCATAGATCGATCCTCTTGCCGTCTGAGCGCGCGAGGGCGGCGATGGAGCCGCCGGAGAGGACGCTTGCTGTCTTCGCGACTGTGAAGGGGAAGGACTCGATAGATTGCCAGGTCTGAGTCGTACTTGGACTGGCTTGCTGGGGCGAGGTCCAGCGTCTTGCCTGGATGGCGCCGTCGGGGTCGATCCAGTATATTTCTTGGTGTGTTGGGGTCAGGGACACGGCCGCGATGCTTGAGCCTGTTGAGATTGCGGTGAGTGGTGCTTCGAGGGTTGGCGGCGGCTCGACAGTGACAGGAACGGTACTGTAGGATTTTATCTGGCTAGATACGGTTGTCCAGAGGGTGATTGCGGATGGAGTCGCTGGGTTTTGTAGGACGCAGAGACCGGCGCCGGTGGGCATGGTAGAGTCTGGACTTATGACCACCGGGGGTGTCCAGCCTGTTTCTTCGGCAGAGGCGTCGGGAATCGTAAAGTCGATTTGGGTCGGGAGGCCGTGGAGGAGATCCGTAAGGGAAGTGGCGATGATGGTGAGTTTGGTGCCGGGTTGGAGACTGGCAAGTTTGAGATCGGCGGCGGTGAAGCTGGAGCGTTGTTCGGAATGTGCCACGTCGCGCTGGATGGAGGCTGGATTTATCTTAAGGCGGACTGTCGAGACACCTTGCATGTCGAGCCACGAGATTACGAGGCGGTCCTTTTCAATGGCGGCGGTGATACTTGGCTTTGGTAGCGTGGAGCGAGGGATCACGAGTTTCCAGGGATCACTGCTCTTTATGATGTTTGTCGTGACATCCTGAATCGTTGCCTTGACGGTAGTATAGAGGGGTAGTTTCACATTCTCGATTGCCAAGACCACGTCTCCGCTTGGTAGTTCTTCGATCGTAGCTGGAAGGGGCCCGTTCGGTGCGGTCTTTGAGGTGAAATCGCCTCCATATGCGCTTTTCTTAATCCCTGCGAAAGTCGGAGTGACTAGAATGATGAGCTTCTTCGTATTGATGTCGTAGTAACTTTCCTTCTCCTTGATCTTGAGGGTAGGTATATAGTCAACGAGAAGCTCTGTGCTGACGAATAATGCAATCGATCCACTGGGTGGTAGTGCATCGCAAACCGCTATCTTGACCTTGTCGTTGTTGACAACCTCATCCGGGGCCAGTAAAGTGGTCTCCCTGTGTGGTACGGTCGCGATTCCCAAGTCAACAGAGGTCGGCTTCATCCACTTGCCGGCTTTAATGAAGAACACCATCGGGTTAGGCAGGGCCGTTACGTTGAGCACATCCCACTTCGCACCAATCTTGCCAGCATTCATTGCCGAAGTCAAGTTCGTCACCCTAGCCCATAGGCCAACGCTGTCATTAGACTCAACAATGGCCGAGTTGCGGAACTTGTTCTGGTCGTCGGAGATGTGCTGCACGTAGGCTTTGGCGGATTTGTCTACTTCACCCTGGTAGTTGTAGCCTGGCGGAGCCAGTAGCCGCACTGACACGTTGAGGTCGGATTGAGCAAAGGCATGCTGTTGACTGTACAGGAACGTAGTTTTCATATCCGGCGAGGCAATGTTGATGGCGATTTGCGTGATAACCCCCGCGACAGTAACCTGTCCTTCCGCGGTATCCTCTGCTGCGTCCGCAGTGAATGAAACAGATTGAGGTGGCTTGAGGAAAGGCACTTGACCGGCCTCACCGGGAGTACTCCAGTCAGCTGCCTCTACGACTTTGGCGTCTCCGAACAGCTCCTTGATCATGTCGGGCAGTTGTTCATCGAAAGCTTTCTTGACCTCCGGGTCCTTGGGCTCGTCCTTCAGATCTGTGCGATGGCTTGGCGCCTTGAACCAATCATCAACGACTGGCATGTATGCCTTGACCGTGACATACAGTTTCGAGTCGTATTCCAATCCGGGGTACTCGATCGTATGCTTTGTGTCGTTGATATTGAGCACTTCATTGGCTCCCGTGAAGTCGGCGTTTGTGCTGTACAGAAGCTTCCATCGAATGTCCGGATGAGTCGACGATGCCTTAGCAGCATAGATAAACGGAGGCATCACCTTCGTCCAGTCGCAAATAACAGACACATCATCAACCTCATCAGAGGCGAACTTGACATCAGGCTTGCCAGTCAACTCCATCGCCGTCTTGATCTTATCCAGTGCATCCCTCAGCTTCTGCATTGTCTCCTTATGCAACTTATCCAGCTTGTCCTTCAGCTTGTCCATATCCTCTTTGACCTTCGGATCGTTGGTTCGATCCCCAACGAGCTTCCCTATTAACCACAGTGCAATCCCGATCGCGATTCCTAGTGCGAGACAAAATAACGCGCCACCGAGTTCTTCCAACGCAACGGCAATGCCTCCAGCTGCACCTGCAGCTGCGGCAGCGCCAGCTCCATCGGCACCTTTGCCAGCTTCGTTGCTCTCTCCCTCAGATTGATTCGCATCTTCCTCCGCAATCTCTTTGCCTCTCTTAACAAGGTCCTCATTATCCGCTCCACGACATAACAAGGATTTGATAGCCCACTTGCCACATTCTTTCAGCAACATAGCTCCAACCAACTGAACCAGATTCTCCTTCTGCGAGACCAGCGCTGTGGCAATCTTAGGGAGGTTGTGCTTCATCAGTTCACCCAGTGTGGCGATGACGCCGTCTTTGTCGATTCGAGGCTTGATTTCGAGTGGAAGTGGCTTCATTTCTACGGTCAGGACTTCTCGGGTGGGGATTGAGATGACGTATTTCCAGTCGATTTGGAGGTGGATGAAGCCGTCTCTGACAACGCTTTGGTGTTTGCCCATTATGCCGTCTTCCGAGTTGTCGTTACCCGGGTTAGCTGTTGTTGTCGGGCCTGTAGATGGCGAGGTGGTTGATGTTGTCGTTGGCGGATTGGGATCGATGGTCATACTCTTAGGCGCGGGTAGGATTCCTGTTGATACCGGTCCTCCGACGACTTCTGGGGCTGTTATTAACGCCGTACCCGTCCCTTTCGACTCATTATTGTCGGGAAAGCTCAGACTGAATCTGAATGTCGTGGTGACAGCTCCATCAAAAACGATGTTCGTGAGCTCTCCACATGCCGACTTGTCAGCATTAGCGCCCTCCTTAAGAATATCCTTCAACTTCAGGAACCCGTCAAGTGCGTCATTGATATCCCACTTCTTAAAGGAGAAACGACCGTTCTTATAGATGAACTCGATGGTGGGCTCCGAGATACCAGCAAACATCTCGCGGAACTTTATGGATCCCTCGAAGCACTTTTCACTGGTGTTGTAGTTCATCTCCATGTCGATGGGCTTGGTTTTAAAGAAGGATATTGCGGCTTTTACACCGATCAACACCTGCAACGATGATCAGTAAGGTTGCGAGTTATGCATCTAATTCACGGATACTTACTGTCTTTGGCTGCCGTCCATCAACGAACATAGCAGGCCCCTTGTACGGCTGCTCTGCATTCTTCTCCTTGTACCCAGTAATCTCCGCGAATTCCAGATCTATCGATTGCTCATAGATCGCCTGGAACTTGATGCCCTTGCGTGATGCCGCTATGTCCAGGCTGACGCCGAATGGCTTGTCGAAGAGAATGACCGAGGCTCCAAGCTGGAATCCCGGATCATACGACGACTTCTCCCTGTAAGTCAGCTTCTTTGTGCCACGGATGTAGTAGATACACGCCGATACAAACTTGAAGTTTGGATGCGTATCGGTCGGCCAAGAGACGTCTGCGTCGCTGTTTCCAGGCTTCAGCAGCTTGTCGTACACCTCCGCTACTGGGAGCTTCGCATCCGACACATTCTCGTACTCGAGGAAGACGGCTATCGGCACGCCATCTTGGAAGATGATTCGCCCGGTCAAGGAGTGCTGAATTTCATCTCCAGGTCCGAGAGTAACATTACCAAAGACCTCATATTTCCTCCCTGCAGGCGTGATCTCTCCACTGATGCCCAGTTCTCTCAACGTGACATTGAACATCTCCTCGAATGGCGATTCAATCCTGGCGACCGCCGCCGTATTCTTAGCCAGCGCAAACCACGTCTTATCCTTGACACTGTGATAGTCGACCTTGAAAGTAACCGGCTGGCGGAGTTGCTTCAAGATAAGTTCACCCGTCACATCAACCTGCCGCTCGCTCATCTTTCCATTTTCCAACTTCCTACCCGCCGTCTGATAAGACCCCGACGCATTAATTTCGATCGCTCCACCCAGCAGGACCAACTTCCGCACATCGATACTATACACAGAGCCCGGCCCATCTCCGCCGATCTTTGCATAAACAATGATGTTCGGTACGTCTGGAGCTTTCGTCTTATCCTTCTCTACGGGATAAGCGAGGGCGGTGGACATCTCATGTTCCGTCGATTCAAGCGATATATCGGCGAAAAACCACGCGCCAGGTAGCAACTTGCCATCCTTGATCCCTTTGACATCAGGGATATTAACGGCATCTTCCATCTTCTGAACCGCGTCTTCAGAAGCCTTCTTTTCCTTGTCGTCATCATTATCTGTCGTGACAACGCCGCCTGCCCCTCCTCCATCCCCTCCTACCGCATCTTTCTTATCCTCCTCGAGAGTGTTGTAGTAATCGACTCCAGACCCCTCTTTCGCACCATCCCCAACGCTCTTCGTCTGAACGTCCAAGTCCTCCCTCAAAGCCTCCAACGTCGTTTCAAACGTCAAAACTTGCACCGCCACTTTTTCAATCTTGAAGTACTTTGACACCGTCTCCTCAAGCGCCGGCCAAATCCTCTCCGGTCTCGTCGCCACCAAACTGAAGAAATATCCTCTCTTTGTATTGTCATTGGGCTGGCGTCGACCCATCAACACTGCGGAACCGACGCTGGCGATCTGACCGGCGATGATGAAGCGTGATTGGGTGAAGTTCACGTATAGCAGACACGCGCCCGAGAACGATAGCGGTGCGGCGTCAGAAGATGTACTGGCCCATTTATTGTTGGCATCATTGTTCCCAAGACGGGTCGCAAGGCTCGAGATATCAGCTCCTCCTTGCTGCTCTCCTCCCACACTAGGTTTAGCAACGACTGTCGCAAAAAGTACAGTATCGCTCTTGGGACCAATATCCAACGTCGCTGTCGCTTGGAGGAATCCATCGAATCCAGAAATGGAAACTTGACCGAAGAGATGGACATCGTACTGATACTTTGCAGCTTCTTGAATTGTGGTGTCCCGTGTTGCCTTTATGTAGCCGCCTACTTTATCGATGCTGAGTTTGAGGTCGGTGTCTTTGATTGGTATTTCCGCCAACCTCAACCCTAGACCTGAGATCTGTACGAACTTGCCCTGTGCAACTATAAAGTCTATACGGCCGATTGGGATGTCTGTGGGGAGGGAGATGTCTTCGGGTGGCTTGTACTTGGCGTCGTTGAGGAATTGGGATGTTAATTGCGCGAATTGAATGCTATCAACGCTCGTTGGATCATTCGGGTTCGACGGTGATTTATTCCCCAGAACCAACTGCCCTAGGAACACGGTGTCGTGCTTGGGATGCTTTCGGAATAAAACGCGGAGAGGTTGGCCTGCTATGTCTAAACGACCGTAGACGGTTGCGATTAGGCCGACGAAGTCATCTTTTTGAGCGGCTTTGGCATTGTAGGAGACTTCGAGGCCAAGTTCTTGGAGGATGACGGCGGGGGATTCCAGGATTGTGAAGGGTTTGGACAGGGTGACGGCGAGGTCTGCTGTAGCCAATGTAAATCTCTTCGATTGCTTCTTGGTTGGTGTGACGCCTGTCTTTCCGCTGGATACTCCTGTTCCGGAAGTGGAGGGTGCTGGCGCTGGCTGTTCACTGGGAGCAACATCGCCAATCTCGACAGTTCCCGCCAGGCGAACAAGTTCGAGGTCAAGGAAGTTGGGTGATTGATCTGGCCTGTCGTAATTGGGAGGGTCGAAGCCGAACAGCAAGAGGAAATTGCTGAGTGCCAGCGCGCCCTTGTCGAGGCCTACAACGCTAAGAGAGACGATTCTCGCTGTCTTGTTGTCGCCAGATTGATAGCCAAACGAAACGCGGGTTCGCAATTTGTTGATGGTGGCAGTCCCGGATACGATCAAAGTATCATGCTCGGGATACTCATCGCTGTCCTTCCATGCAGCTGTGCTCTCGTCACCGGCAGGATTTGTGAGGGACCTCTCGACTCCAGGACGCTTCGGCACCGCCGCCAGAGGCTTGGGTTGCTCGGTTGAAGGTACTGCAGCCCCAGTAGAGCCTTGTTCGCCGGTTGTGCTTGTGTTGCCACCACCTTGCATTGGGCTCGCGCTTGGATCAATGGCCTTCGGTGTAACCTTCTGCTCCTTTGGTTTCCCACGTCGATACGATACCATAAGAGACTTGAGCACAAACTTCCCCTTCTCAGTCTGATTTCCCTCAACACCAAGCTCTTCCTTCCCTCCCAGATCGAGGTCGAATCTATCAAGCTTGATGGGATCTCCCTTCTTACCAACGTCCAATGCAACTCCTGCAATATTGAACGTCATGTCCGTGACTGCCGGAACAAGATCCACGGTCTGCAGGTCAGAAGGCAAAATCTCCTTGATGATCCCAGCGATAGTCAGATCCTTCACTGCGGGAGTCAACGTCGCAAAGACAACTCGCTTCCTCGTATCGTAGCCAACATCCACTCGCAGAGTCTTGTTAAGAAAACAGGCATTGGCACCGAAACTGAAGACGTCCTTCTTCTCTCCTGAAACAGGGTCTTTCCTGACTTCCGGATCAAGCTTACTCTTCCACATGAGACCGACCTCCAAGTTCTCCAGCTTGAGCGGACCGAATTCCAGAGCTCGCGTGTAAAAGAATGTCGTCTCGAATCCGAATACGGATAAATCCCTCTCTGATCCAGCAGCGTATCCGAATGACACCTGGAAGACACGCAGCTTGGTCGACAGAATAGTACCAATGACAGGCAGATCCTCCATAGACGGTAAACCCATCTGTACCAGCGCATCTTGCGCGCTAATACCAGCCGGAGGAGCCTGCACCTTGACAAAACCGGGACTATCAGGTTGCGGAGTTTTGAACGCAACATTGAGACTTCGTTTTAGACCATCAATATAAATCTCTCCCTCTCCCGAACTGAGAAGCGAGCTCTCGGCCAATTTCTCAATGTTTACCATGGCTTTCTTGATTGTGAATTGGTTCGGTATGAGAGCGAGATCATGGACGAGAAGGGTGATGGACCAAGTTGTCACGGAGAGTCTGCCGTCGAGACCCTTTGGCTCGGCGGCAATCTCGAAGTCCTTGACGGCGACTTTGGTTAGGAGATCGCTGAGGATGGGGACGTTAGTCTTAATGTCGGGTGAGATCTCGATGCCTGATGTTGTGGCTATGTCGTCGATGGATATGCCGCCTCGGCAGGTCAAAGCGATGGAGTAGGCGTAGTCGTTTCTGATGTAGCCGACTGGATCTGCCAGGAAACCGACTTGCAAGGACCTTTTCCTGGGTGGTTGTGGTGCCCCTGGATTGGAGATGCCCAGCTTGGCATCGGGATCATCGATGGTGTTGCTTGATGTGATAGGAATGATGAAGCTGACCTCGGTTCTGACGCGCCGCACGGCCTTTGTCAACGGATTGAGGATGGTCACTCTGATCTTCGGATGTTCGATAGCTTTTAGTTGGAATTCTTTCGGTAGATAGTCTTTCCAATCGTCCAGCTTGATCGCAATGAACACAGATGATAGTCGGTAGTCGTCTGTTGCTTTCACAGTCTGCCTTACCGAAAAGCCAATCTCCGACCCATTCAAGGATGCAAGATCTTTCGGCATCGGCGTCTGCTGACCGGAACCTCCAGTCGACAGTGTGGAGTTGGTGAGGGGAACACCGAGGGTCTTCATGTCATCATATGGCAGAGACAACAACCCTGCTAGCTTGCTGATAGACGACACGTTCGCCGCCGTGAAATCAATATCTGTGGACTGCTCTCCAAGACTGCAATTCAGTCTTAATTCTACGACGCCATTGCCTTCGGCGCTGATCGTGGCTGCGCCTTCGAGGTTGATTCGTTCGTGGGTTTTGGCACCAATGTTTTGAAAGCCAAGCGCCAGACGTGTGATCTGAACGCCGATAGTGTCTAGCTTGATGTTTCTAAGAAACTTGTTCACGCCGTCTAGCTGAAGGTGTATCAGGGCCGATTTGATCGCCGGTGCTCCTTGTGTCATGGTATTGCCGTGCTCTACCGGGGACAGGTCGAGGTCTGGCTGCAGCTTCGCCAAGCCGGCTTGTACGAACTCGCCGGGGATGCGCGAGGAGAGTATATCCATCGCTCTCGTGGTGTTGTTCTGTAATAAGAGTGGCAGCAGGTCTGCGATCGTGATCTTCGCAAGCTTCTCGGGAGTAACATTGATTCCGAGAAGAAAATCGCGGAGATTGGCGAACCTTGCCGCGAGCTCGACAGACCTGCTACTCTTTACTGTCACTTGCTCGTCTGTCGTGATAGATAATTCCATGTTGAATGTTGTGTCAGTCTGTCGAGAGATGAAGATCTTTGACGATTCTATCTTCAACTTGTCGTCCCCAAAGACGAAGAGATCACCTGCCTCTGCGAGAGCTACCAAGGTCGCATTGCTGAATTCGTTGAGAGCTGCTTGCGAGTCATACTCAACCTTTGAAGCATCCAGATGAACTTTGTCTCCCGCTAATAGCTTCTCGTAACTGAGATTCATCTTCGAACCGATATGTCGTTGTTTTCCAGTGATTGCCTCGAGCGCGTCGGTGCGCGAAGTGATGAGGTTGAAGTCGAACCCGATACGTCTGAGGTAGTCTCGCAAGGAACTCTCGGTTTGAATGGCTGGCACAATGGCTGATGGCTGTTCCGTGGCAGAGACCTTTGTCGTGATGGCGGAGGCCGTCTCTAGTTGCATCTTGGGCAGAGTTGTTTCATCGGGGGATGTCGCAATCATATGCATGTGCGCAAATTGTGATGTAGCCGCCCCGTCTTCCGCATTCTTCTCGGTTGTGCTTGAATTTGCCCAGTTAGTGATGGTTTCTTGATCGGTTAACATCTCGGGAAGTGGAATGGAAGGGTTTTCTATGACAGATTCCGACGATTCAACAACGCCATTACTCTCGTCGACTGGAATCGCAACTGCATTCATTTCAAGGTCTGGAAGCTGCAGGTTCCTGATGCTCATCTCCGCGAACATGTTGTCGTCATTTCCATGTGCCTGATCTTTCCATTGATCAAATTCATCGTCTGATTCATCATTGTCCTTCAACCATTTTTCAAAACTTCCTTTTGGTAGGGTATGCGTCTCTATCAGCATCGAGTTCTCCTCCTCGACTTCGGACTCGTCCATGATCAATGTCCCCGTTGGCCCATAAACAGGTGGTTTATTGATGGCCCTCATTCCAGCATGAACCTTCTCTCTCTCCTCTTCGGTAAGACCATTCTCAAACGTATTCCATTCAATGGCAGAAATCTCAAAGCTGCAACATGTCATGGCTGTTGAGTATTTGGAGGGGCCATTCTTTCGCGCAACACGAACGGAAGTGAACGGCGCGTCGTTGTTTGGGCCATAGACAAAAGTACCATGATTGGGTGTACCGAAGTTGAACTCGAAGAGCCATCTGCTCGTGAACATGTCCGAGTCTCCATCTTGACAATAGAAGGTTCGGCTTTCAGAGATTGGGTCTCGCGCATTAGTGAGCGTAAGTGTTCGACACCATAGCGAGCCATTTTCAATGACGTCCACACCTTCTGTTACGAGAAAGCACGGGAGCTTTCCGAGATCGTGTTCTGAGATCACTGTGGGAGGGTGGAGGCCGTCCAGGAAATATTTGGTTCCGGCCATCTCGCAGTGAACGGCCCAAACCTGCAGGCTCAAATCGCTGCGTGTCAGGAGTAAACGCTTGTCCGTAAATGCGCTAAGGATTTGTTTGTTACGCTTTTCGCCTTCGTCAGTGAATGAGATCTGCCTCGTGAAACTATCTCGTGCTCTTTGGCCAACGGGCCGTGTGGGGTTGGCCGGGTCAGCTTGTGGGACTGGGTTGCCGTCCAAGGTAACATACGCCCTTTGGTCGAGGTGATATACGTTCAGTTTATTGCCTGAGAACAGCTGCTGACGTGATTGGCCCACGAGTCGAGCTCCTGCTCCAAGCCTGGGATTATTCATATTCGAAGGATCGGTCATGTATAGCTCCTTTGGTGTAGTATGAACACCCTGTTGACAAGCAACTGCAAGCCCTAAGAGCGTAGAGACATGAGGATGATGATATGGAATAGATGACCCGCTCACCATGTAGGTGTGGGACTCGAAACTCTTGTAGAACGCGGCGACTTGGTAAATTCCCCAGCAGGCAAAGAAGTCTTCACACGGTAGGTCTCTCATCGCGAAAGAGAACCAGTTCTGCATTTGATCAAAAGTCCAGCTCTCATAGGTGGGATTTGCATATGTATTCCAGAAGAATGGAAATCTCGGAGCCGGGGTGGTCATCATGATGGTGTAATCGTAGATTATGATTGGGTCTGGGTGGTCGGCTGGCCAGGGTGCAAGGTCACTTAGGTCAAGGACAGGACGGTCCAGCCGGGTCTTCGCCAAGTTGAGCCACTGGTCTCGTCGTCCGGTCAAGAGAGCCAACAGACTGTCCATGGTCGCTGTCCCCTGGAACTGGACCTCCCGTAAGAAATGGGTTGTTACGTGTTTGCAGTACTCGGCGACGTCTTCAAATGAGTTGGTTTGTTCGTGTAAGTCTCTGCTTTGGCTTGTCCAATAGTTGGGCCAGACATCATTGACAGATTTCTGCAGAAGCATATACACAGCACTCTCCTTGGTCATGCCCAGATTTGTCTTGAGATCGACCGGATTTTGCATAGAGTCCGTGAGCGCCCCATGATGCTGAATTTTGTAGATTGCCAAATCAGGTGCAGTCATACCGTCGTCGCGGACAAATTGACCAATTCGCCTGACACTGCTGTCGCCGGTGAAATAGACTGGTTTCTCGTACACCTCTCCAGTTCGCATCAGGATACTGCTCTGATTCGTTACGGTGAAGCCAGCTGGGGGACCGTCGTAGGTAGATAGGTCTGCATTTGCATCAAGGTCAACGGCAGCACCTGGATCGATTCGTGAAAATTGAAGAACGTGGTTGTAGGAGTTGTTATCTGTAAGATCATTCATATCCAACCCTGCGTATGGATAATCGAGATGGAGACCATCGGGCAGGTATCCGTTACTGAGCTGGGGATATAGTTGTCTCTTGTTGAGTGTCTCCACGAGGTCTTCAAAATTCACAATTTGAGTGCTACTTCCATCTTGCGCGATTTTGTTTCTGAGGAAAGGAACGTAGAACTTGAAATGATCCCAATCGATGATGTTGTCCGGCATTTCACAGACCATTCTCAGGAGGCCATATCGGTGATCATCATCGGTATGTGAATTGACCATGCTCATGAGAATCAAGCCCTCTTGCACGCCCCAGACCTCTCGAACGGCAGACAAAAGGTGGTGGTAGTACGGAGCCGCTTGCACGAAGGAGTCATCTTCGGAAAAGTATTGCGTTTTCGGCCCGCCGTCTACGATGACAAGCCGACGCTCTTCGTTGACGACGTATTCCAGGATGAAGGCATCTCCACGACCCGCCCACACCATGTGAATCTTGATGTTTGTAGCCATAATTTGTGTCCTGCAGTCGAACTACCGTCACGTCACTGCTGCTGAGTCGCCGCGCCCTTGAACTGATGGATGAAATCGTATCTGCTATGGAACCCCCTTCAGGGTCTCAGCAGGCCAGGTCGCCTCTTGATAAACCCAGTGGCAGGGATCATCGCTAGTCGGAAACACGCTGCGTGCCGCCGGCTGGTATTGCAAGACTATCAATCTCCTTATGCAAGACAAGTCCCGTACCACCGCAGACTCTTGGCGCTCTCATTGGACGGCCAGGGGTATCTTTCGGTAGCGTTTCGATCATTGCAGCAATTGGAGAAACGCAAATGACTCTAAACTACATCAGTATCTGAACTGTGGGGACTGTTCTCGGAATCTCCACATAAAACAGGGATTAAAACAGGCGCTAAGATTCCGCTGGCGTCAAGTCGTCATGCATTTCGCCAATGGCATGCGATGATCAAGTCGGCAGCTCCACCGACATACCGTGAGCTATACAAAGGTCTGGCCCGCCAGTGGGGAACAACGACGAAAAGAGCTCGAATGGCGCTTTGGGGACGGATCGAGGCTGGCTGGAAGCGACCATCATTGCCAAAACCAACGTCACCCTTCATTGCCGGAAAGGTGATCTGCAGGAAGACCATTTTGCTCGAGGCGTTGATTCCCTGGCTGACCATTCCGAACACGAGATCTTGTAGTGACTCTGCCTCTCAGCTAGCCACATTTTTGCCACTAGGCGCTTGTCGAGCAACAGAAGGCGGTGAAAACCCTGGTCTTGATGATCTATCATATTTTTCAGCTGCCGCCTTTCCCACTTGCCGCCACCTTGCATTCCATGACTGCCAATGTTTTTATTCGATGATATTACGAGGGAATGTGAATGTAGATAGTTTACTGCATGTCTTGCCTCTGAAAATTAACACTTCTCCAGTTTATATAAGGAGATGCAGTGGCATTTATTCTCAGTGAGCCTTAAAATGAATTAAGGTATAAAGTTTAAGATTATATGGCGTTTTTCTAATACCCTTTTTAGTCAGGCTAGGAGGGAAAATAAAAAACAAGACTGCCTTATATTAAAATTTATTAATTTACAACTAAATCCAGTTTTGTTTTTTATTTCCCCTTAAGGTCAGGGTATACTTTACTTTATATAGGTTTATATACTTTTATTTAATATCTATACCTAAAGTTATATTTATTATATAATTTAATTAATAAGGCTATTATTTATAGCTAAAAGATATAGTAAAATAATATTATAATTATAATAATATAAGATATAAAAGTCTAGACTATAGCTACTATAAAAAGCATACCAACCCCTTATAAGAGATTAATAATATAACTTACTACTAGTTATAGCTTGCAGTAATGCAGGATAAGCTAACTTAATTTAATATTCTAGCTTTTTATATATAACTCTTAGCTTTTAAGATCTATAAGTATAAAGCAGCCTATGCCTTAAAATTAAAAGTATTTTCTTAATTTATATATAATTAATTAATAGTTAAAGCTTATATAATATCTTATTAATGTTAAGGCTTGAATAAAATAGCCTATAAATTCGCAATAGGTAGAAGGGTAGATAGTTGTAATAGGTAGAGTGGAGGTAGAATTATTAAATAAATAAAAGGTTGTAACTTGCTGATAAGTTGACATAGGGAAGAATTTATAAGATAAAAGTGGGTCCGTTAAATAGAGCGATGTTTTCCGAATTTAATGGTATATATTAGGTAATCAATAATTAGATAATCAGTTAAGAAGTTAGGAGTTCCTGAAGTGGGAAATCCTTGGATTTATATAGACATTCTGAAACCGCGGGCCTGAATTCCCAAAGAGGGGTAAGTCCAATGGTGACGCAAAGACTATCATAAAATCCGTCAAAATTCGGAGAAAATTCTGATATACATTTTACCCAAAATGGATGACGCTAGCACTAGCGGGGTAAATAAACCTAAAAGGGAAATATAGGGTTTTTAGCTTGGTGTGATGACTCGACCAACTGAGGGGTCATATCTGATATATGTATCTTCTTTATCATCTTATCTTTACGTGATCCCAATCACGTGACCCCACTTTTAATATTTCTTAAATAAGAGAATATTAAAGTTTATATAATAAACTTTATTATATAAAGTTACTCAATTCTCCACATTTCGCTTAGGTAAGCACACCAATAAAAAGCCCTGATTTATCTGGTTATAATGATATATAATTTGTCCTAATTAGGCAAGTATATCTTAAGATATCTTATATAATATATATATCTTATATATATAACACCATTTTATAAAGTCAGGTCTTAATAATTAAAATATATTAAGCTAATATTTTAAAAAATATTAATTAACTTTAGGCTTTTAAAGATAATATATATATAGCCTTAATAAAGATAAGTCTTTTAATAAAAATTATAATAATATACTTTTATAATTTATATATTATATTACTTCTTGCCTTATTTATTATTTCCTTTAATATATTATCTTCTCTTAAAATAGCATACTTCTATTTATTTAAGGAAGCTAACTTGCCTTTATAATTTAATACTAATTAATCTTTTTATAATCTAAATTAATAGACACTGTAGATATAAGCCCTTATTATATAAATTGCTAATCTTAAACTGTTAGCTGCTTTAAGTAAATAGTATTACAACCTAACACAGTCTTATGCATATACGCATGCACCCCACTCTTTTTATCTAACTAAGAGTTACCTACCTTATATTAGTTAAATATATACTATTTAACTTATATAATAAATAACTATAAATAGAATTAAACTGACCTTATTTAACTTATATATATTACAGTATATATATATACCTTTATTTAGTATTAAGTAGAACTTAGCTTATTAGCTATTAATAAGACTTCTTTATATTAATAAGCCTAATATATATTACTTAATTATTAAGAGATATAATACTTAAGTTAAGCTTAATATATATGCCTTATATTTCTATAAATATAAACTTAATATAGATTAGTTTCCCTATTTAAAACCCTAACTGTTATATATAGTAAATTTATAACTTATCTTTTAATTAATTATTAAATAGCTTATTTAGCTTAATATAAATCTCTTTTCTTTTAATTTAATATAATATAGCTAATTTAACTATATTTAATATTATTACTACTTTAATATAATTAGCTAATTAATTAAATATATTATATATTACTTATAATACTGGCTTATTTTCTTATAGTAAAGCAGCTAGTAATAATAAATCCTTCTTTACCTTAAACTTTTATAAGTAGCCTATCTAGCCTATTCTTTCTAGCTATATATTTAATTCCTTTTTCTTATTAATAACCTTAATTTTATCCTTTTTAGTAGTATTAAACTTACTAACTTATTTTTAATATAACTTTATAAGCTTTACTGTAATATCTTTACTACCCTTTAAGCCTTTAATTAAATAACTTAATAAGTTAATAGGCTTATATACTTTAAATTACTAATTTACCTATTAATACTTAAAAAATTACTAGCATTATATCCCTTCTATTTATAAAACCTATTTTAGTTACTTTAATTTCTTTTTAATATTACCCCCTTTTATTTAATTATTTCTCTATTTATACTCTATTTAATAATAATAATATATATTACTTTTATATAGATTAATATAACTATATATATAATACCTCTTATAGTTTAGTATTAATAGCTTTAAGTATAGAATTAGTTTATTTAATAAATTAAAAAACTTAAAATCCTTTATATAACGGTTAGGGTTTTAAATAGGGAAACTAATCTATATTAGGTTTATATTTACAGAAACGTAAGGTATATATACTAAGCTTAGCTTAGGTATTATATCTTTTAATAATTAAGTAATATATATTAGGCTTATTAATATAAAAAAGTCTTATTAATAGCTAGTAAGTTAAGTTTTATTTAATACTAAATAAAGGTATATATATATACTGTAATATATATAAGTTAAATAAGGTTAGTTTGACTCTATTTATAGTTATTTATTATATAAGTTAAATGGCATGCGTTTAACCGGTATAGGGTAGGTAACTCTTAGTTAGGTAAAAAGAGTAAGGTGTATATATATATGTATAAGACTGTATTAGGTTGTAATACTTTAGATTTAATTAATTTTAAGCTAGCCCTATAATTAATATAATAGCTTTATTAATTGCCTTTACCTATATAAATTAAATTATTAGATATTTTATCTTTAAATACTTAAATACCTTATTAGCTATATAGTTAAAATTATAAACCTTATATATAATAAATAATAAGTCTTATATATAGATAAATAAATCTATTATAGTAGCTATTTTAATACTATATTATATTATAGATTAGGCTTATTAAGTTAATAGCTACTTACTTTAATTATTTAGGGTTTTTTCTATAATAAATTATTATTATCTTTAATACTTACTTAACTTATATTTACTTTTTTAATAAAGTCTTTACCTTTATCTTACTTTATATTAATTAAACTTTAGTTATATAAACTTTACTTTAATAATAAGTAAATAATAAATTTAGTCTTTATGCCTTTGTATTTAACTATTATTCTTTAAAACCTAAATAAAATTAAATATAAGTATTTTAGTATTATTTTTATAGTAATTATTTTTTCTTTAACTTTAAAAAGTTTAATAGTCTTTATATATAAAATTTTAATAATCTTTTACCTCTATCTTTATTAGCGTATTTTTAGTTTTAATAAGAATAGTTAATAGATATTACTAGAGACTGTTACTAGATTGTTATAAGGACTTATAAATCAGGCTCCTCCCTGGCTTGAGTCCTAATTCATAAGTATAGTCTATAGATATAATTTATTCTATTAAATTTAACTATAACAATACATCCAGCAATATATAAAACAATAGAGGAGGAATCTTTTAATAAATAATAACTATAAAAGTATTTTTTACCTATCTTGGCCAAAAAACACATAGAAGAATACACCCAACTCGGCGTCAACACAAAAGCATGGTCTGAGCTCAGAGACGCTGCTTACGCCTGGTCACCAGATTAGGTTCAAAGCTCAGACCAATGAAAAGAGGATTTGGATCGGACAGTATCCCCGCAGTAGTCTTGGCCCATTTCTGGGCCAAGGCCAATAATAACATGGCTTGGACTGGACGTAGGCTCCACCCATGTTCAAACAAGGTAGAGGTACGATAGGGGATGGGCGATTTGAGCCCCGGCAGCCATTGGGCGCCAATGCAGCTTGAGAGTATTTACTGGAAACTAAATCAGGTATCTATGCTGAGTCTGAAATCTTTTCCACTAAGAATAATTTCACATATATGCCAGTTATTGTCCTTCTATTAACATTCACTCTATAGTGAGATAACCTTGCTAACTACTATAGTGCAATACCCTGCAGTTTTGACTATGGAGAAGACCTCTGCAACCCCATCTGAACTTCCTCGCTTCCCCCAGTCTCTGGCTAACCCTAATTACAAGCTATGCGAGAATTGCAAATATTTACAATTGACGGAAAAGAATTTCATTGAGATCTCTGAGAATGGCATATCAGAGATCGAAAAGTACAACTTCACCGACTCAGCTCCTGACTTTCCACTCTTAAACAGATCAGCGAACAATGGATGCGTCTTTTGTTCCTTGCTCAGGGACACGCTATGCTCGCCTGAAGTCGAGTTCGACATGCATGAATTCAAACGCATCAGAAGCGTCTACCATGCTAACCCAGGAACGAGGCTGGACTTTCAGCGAGCTCAATTCTGTCTACTGCCTTATGGCGAGGATGGAAACGAGTTCTGGCTAAATTTCGAAATATGGATCATTCACCGTAAGAAAACCCCAGCTTCTTCTTATGAGCTATATTTCCTTAGTCCAGTACGAAAACAAATCAAGTTACAATTATTCTATGCATCCATATATATCGTGCACTAACTAACATCTATCTCAAACGTAGCGGGTAGGAACGATACTTGCCTTATGTTCGCTATTGAGGATCCATCGGGCAGTTTGGAACTCCTTCCAAGTGAACCTTCACTAGCTGGGAGCGATCTTAGGTTACGAGCAGTTCCGCCAAGCGACACACTGGGAAAAAACACAAAGGACTTTCTCCAGGAGGCGATAAAAATATGTGAAATGCATCACAGTGACTGCAAATCAAACAGAACAGCTTCCTTTACGCCCACTAGGCTGGTCGACGTACGTGGAAAGGATGTCAAACTTGTTGAGGGCCCCATGATCTCCAACTCATCCTCCAGTACACCCAAATACGCAGCGCTGAGTTACTGTTGGGGCCCCCCCTCCGCTGCTCAACGCCAACTGAAGACGGACGAGGGCAATTATCACCAACATTTGATCGAAATTCCCACCAGCCAGATGCCCCTTCTACTTCAAGACGCTATCCGCACCGCCAGAGAACTTCACATTCCATTTCTTTGGGTCGACAGTCTATGCATTATTCAAGGTAATGAAAAGGACTGGAAGGAAGAAGCCAACAAAATGCATCAAGTCTACGGCAACGCATACATAACCATCTGCCCAGTGATATCCAAGTCTTGTGAGCGGGGCTTTTTACACCGAACTCCACCCAGCCTGTCACTTCCATACCTTGCGCGTTCAGGCAAGCCCAACGGAACGTACAGTGTCCGATATCAGCGCTCATGGATCTGGAAGATGTACATGGACACCTCATCTGATCCATTTTTTGAAGACCTGATATCAGGATCCTGGGTTCGGAGAGGCTGGACATTCCAGGAGGCAGCATTGTCTTCAAGAACCATTCTGTTTGGCTCTACGGCTACTCACTTCCAATGCAAGAGGTCACGAATAACCGAGGGAGGGAGTGAGGTCCCTGTCGACATCAAGGACTTAGGTCTCTTTCCACTTCTTCCAGCTAATCTTACCGAGGATGGCTTTCACTCAGCTTGGAGAACAATTATTTCTTCCTATACCCAACGGGAATTCACAAACCACGAAGACAGAATCGCAGCGTTGGCGGGGCTTGCACATCGATTTCACTCATTTCAGAGTAACAATGAGTATTGCTGTGGTATGTGGCGAAGCCGTCTTTCCGAATACCTTCTTTGGCGTCATGGTATGTATGAGGGCCTGGCATGGGGCTGGTGTATCTATCCACTGGCGTCCAAATTACCTGAACAGGTGAGAGAGTTTGCACCATCTTGGAGTTTGATACACCACGGAAATGTCGATTACTCATATATTGATGATGCTATTGGCCATGAGAACTCGGACAGTGCACGATTGAGAGACGAGACACTTCAGCTGAAATGGATACAATCAAACAGCATGGAAGATATTTTCATTTCCTGGAAGGGCCAGCAGCTTGAGGTTAGAGGTTTTACAGCTCAGTTTCCCTTTGACATCGTCGATAGCCCTTCAGACGTAGAGACAGAGGAAGTCAACACTGAGCTCTTTTGGACGTGGACTATTTCTGACGAATATTTCTGCCACGCAAACTGGGACAATCTTCATTTGGGTTACTGGGACGATTATATCAATCATGATGACTTCCGAAACGTCGCTATGTTGTTGTTGAGTAGTGGGCGACCCAAGAACGAGGAAGACTCTGACATCGAGGGCTCGGATGATGATGAAGAAATTACCGGCTCAGCAAGATCAGCTGAGACAGTGGGCGACCCTGAGGATCGTGAAAGCGACAGCGTTGACCCTTTGATTCGAGACCGACACGGTCGAATTGCATTTGGCTTGTTTCTTTACCCGGCAATGGAGGACAGTAACAAATTTTACAGAGTGGGGACGTGGCATTCGTTTCCAACAGCAAACGGCGGGCTAGAGAGGTTCAAACTGAATGCCAAGATAAGGGACTTAACTATAGTATGAACTTTCGGCAGAATCTTATGCCCCCCAACCAATAGAAGCCTCCAAGACTTTCATGGGACCCGGCAGTTTGAAATTCGTACGGCTTAGGAACCACTGGGGTGCTGGACATTAGCTGCTTGCACAGCTACATGATGTCCCTTGTCGCACCCAGCTGATGACGAGTTTGAGTAGAATGGCCGACATGAAGTATTGAATCTAGTGATTGACCTTTGATACACTTAAAGTTGCAACTACTGGATATCAAGACGCGATGGAGGTTGTGGTGGCGCGGATCTTCGACCAACCATTCCCACTTAACTTTAGCTCCATAAAAGCTTCTATAGTAAATAAGAAACTTATTATATTTGACCTTTTAAAGCTTCATATATTAAAATAAGTAATTAAGTATAAATATTCCCTATTTTTATTAATATAATAAATTTAAAGAGCTTAATAATACTTATTATTTAATAGTAATAAGTATACTATTTAAATTATTATTAAATATTTTCTTTAAGGAAAGTAATAAAATAAATAAGTATTAAAATATAAAGGGAAAATAGTATAGTCCTATTTCTTTACCTTTTAAAGGTAAATTTAAATTACTAAATATAAACTTATCTAAAGGAAATAGAGTTTAATTTATAGACTTTTTAATTAGTATATTTATCTAATATCTAGAGAATTGGCTTAATAGTAGTGAGGCATACTTTTACCTCTAGTTAAGAGGGGATAGTGGCATTAAACAATAATAGAAATGTTTCCCGCTTTTAAGAAGATAAATAGAGTTATTACTAGCTATTTGCGCGTAGCCAAGGGTCTCCGCACCGCACAACTTGGGCCGTGGCCAGATATCCGGACTGTTGCACCCTTTTTAAATCGGTTTATCGGGAGGGAGATAGAGGTGTGGAGCCAGACTTAGGTTCACGGAACGGAGGAGGCCTGGAGACTTGGGCAGAACCCTTCTGACTGCAAGATTGGAGATAAAGTGGTCTTTTCTGCACTGGTATTTAGCAGATTGATATGAGAAGACTCTCGAGCTTTATCTTAAGTGATATAGGTGCCGAAGCACAGAAGAATGTGTAGAGGGAGTTGTCGGATATACTGGAGCAAACAAAGCCAGATGTCATGTCTTATGTTTCGTCTTGCGACTTGGACTTGGGTCGACCCGAATTGCAATGATCGAGGGAGTTTATCGAGATCATTTAACGCGTGGTGGCTTCTGTGTCGATTCTCAGAGTCCCTTAAATCGTGCGCTTAGTTAAGGCATCGTCCTGCACTGTTTAACGCTGCTAAGCATGCTGATTGAATCCTCACGTGACTAGTAGTGAATCAGAGCGGAGGGCGACTTATAAATGTCCTTCTTTTTACTTTTCCTAAGATTTCTCTTCTTCCTTTTCTTTTCTTTTTACTTATTAACCTTTATATTAGCACTTAAGGTATATTACCTAATAGATGTATTTAAACGCTTATTAATATTGATATTATAAATCTTAATCCTTAAGTGAGATATTAATATAATAAGGCTTTAATACTTTTAATACTAAATAGCAGTCTTAATTAAATAATTAAAAAGCTTTAAACTCTATTAAAAAGTTTATAATAAAGATTAAGGCAGTATTTTTTAAGTTTTACTAAGTCTATATAGCTACCTTACTAGCTAAGAAAGGATATAATTATTATATAATATTATTTAATAATCTTTAAAAGGAGTATAAAGCCTTAAAGGAGGAAAGTAAATAAAAGGATAAGCGAATTGCGGACCTAAAGTGCTATAAAGACTAAGTTTTCCCAGATGAATGACGCTCCTGGCGAGGATCGGATATGCGTCGATAAACATGCGGTAAGTACTTTGCGATTGGAAGCGGCATTGGCTAATGTGATAAAGCATGTAGGGATACTGTGGGCGGGACAGGTTAAAGATTGAAGCGGAGCGGGAATTGCAGAGATAATGCTGGCATTGGTAGTCGAGGTTATCTAATAAAGATTATTATCTCGGAACTTAAATATATCACATAGTTTCAAGCTTTTTTTGGAGGAACTTGATGCGATTTATAAAGGGCACGGAGCTTTTAGTTAGTAAGGGAAGGCATTTTTGCTGATTTAAGTTAGTAGGGAACAGGAAAGAAGATGTAAACTAACCTGCATGATGTTTAGGTGAAGGCCCTTGTGTGAAGGTGCGACTTTTGTTAAATAGCAAGATGATAGAAGGAATTAAATCCAAGAAGATGGAAGTTGAGAAGAAGGATTCCAGAGATAAAAAGTCAAGATGAAGACTGAAAAAGACGAAAGATCAAGACGGGTCACAACTGGTGGTGGTTTGAGCGAGATTTATGGAGTATGCATGTTCACTGCCAATGAATCAGCTTGGGAATGGTCTAATAGTGGCAGGTCAGAGATGTTCTTGCACGAAACACTGGCCCTTTGTTCGTTAGGACTTGCATTTACGCCACTCGATCTCGAGACACTGGGAATTGTTCAGCGTTGAGTCGGGGACTCGGTCGGTATTAGAAGTGCTGGAGGTTCACAATCGTTCTTTTTCGGGGGAACAGAAGGATGTTTCTCCAAGTCCAGCCACAAGATCAACTCTGATGCACGACTCGGTTGACAAAGTGATGTTGGGGAGGAAGAAGAAAATATTGTGGGCCGGATAGCATCACTCATACTCAACGGGTCGACAATTTGACGCTGATTTTTGAATCATCTTAAACCGTGGAACCTTACTGGTTTTTCTAAGTCTTGAACCGGCTGTCAATAACAAAGAGGAAATAGACGAGCATCTAATAACAAGTCTAGAACAACTCGTACAGTCGAACACATGCATTGACACTCATTGATTAAATGCAAAACCTTTTTTTCAGTTGGAGATTACGTGTAATTATCAACAAAGCTAGAAAAGTGATAGATGTTGGACTGAAAGGTTCTGTTACCCTATTGTTACCGAGCCGAGACCCCAGATATGGACCCACAATTTGTTTCCCAAGGCGTACCACGCGCTCAAGGCGAGCTTAGGCAAGGCAGGTGCTTGTCTGCGATTCAGGCTTTCGATCCTCACCTCGACTCATCTTTTGAACACTTCTCCCGCTCGCCAACCATCCCTATGATCACAGCGCCGATTGGACCAATACTACGTGCAAGAAAACCAACCGACTTTGGTGAACTGTGCCCATGTGATCACCATCACCAGCCGACGTTGGCAGTTATCGCACAATCAACTTCTCCCGTGCAATGCCTGACCCTGAATGGAAATCGATCGCTGGTCAATCTACCAGACAAAACAAGAGCAGCGCTCAGCTTTACACGAATACTCCATCAACAACAGTCACCGGCGTAGGATACCGAACAGGGTTGGGGTCAGTGATATCACGAGCAATGCCTGAAGACATACGACAGCAAAGAGTTAGTGAGAACGACGTGGCACTTGGGCCTTTCGGAAAAGATTAATTGCAGGACGAAACGATGAATCGTATGTGATTTTCTCATATCACTCGCAATCGCTGACCAAGAGATAGGCGTATTGGAAACGAAAACGAACTGAAGCTACCGTTGGAATGAGATTGCCACCGAAAGCTGCATCGCCCGGCTCAAGGGTTACAAGCATCCGCAGTCAATAAACCCTACCACTACTAGTTAAGAAGTCCCTGACAGGTTATAAGGGATGAGACTCGCCGATCACCCCTTTGTCAATCCGCTTCCGCTCAATCGAACCCGGAGATATTTTGTTACCCACGACAAGAGGACTTTCGGAGAACGAATCTCATGTGAAGGGGCCCAACGGGGGCCTTACTGGCCGCAGCATACTCGGACCAGACGCACATCAACAAGCACACTCCCGACCACGCGTGGATTGGCGACAACGAGGTCTTGGGTCCCAGAAGCGACCTCCGCCGTGAGGGTGAAGAAGCCGCCTCTTCGTCTTCAGATAGTAACCTCCGCTCAAACGCTCATTCCAGTATCCAACATCACCTTAAAGATACAAAGTCATATCGCATGACTACAGAAATGTTGCCGACTTCCGCAGTCTCAAAACGCGACCCAACACCACTTCCTAGACAAGGAGTGAGCTCAGACCTGGACAGACTGCGCCACAAACCACAAATTGGATCGGATGAGGGATTCTCAGCGACACGGAGCAAGGGGAGCTTCCTGGGACAAGGGAATGGCCAGTTATGCATCCGACCACCAATCGCGGCATCGAGATTGAGATTTTCATCCAGCCTTCTGCCGCGGATGACTCATATGAGAAGCTCGCCGTAGGTTTTGAGCACACTCACCTATCCAGCCCTTCAGAGGCCAATTGATCTCTCATTCACTTGGTACCATCACCAGGGACTTCCGATGTTGCTCTACGTGCGGCCCATGATCAGTCACATCCATTCCGACGTGATTCTCAATCCAAATGAAGCTGTTTCTAACTGTTTGCCAGGACCTCTCTTTCGGTTTTCCGAATCGACCGCATGAACCCCCCCGATAAAAACGAAACCAAACCAGACGCCGTCCCTTTTCATCGCTCACTCCGCTACCGCATCAACAACATCCCCTTCCCGACCGATCCTTCGACCGGCCCGCAGCTTTAAAACTGAGATCTGCCTTTTTTGTGGAGGATCAGCAAGACTCTAATGAAAAGCTTCCAGTCCCCGTCCATGCAATCAGTGGATGTAAGCGTAATTTTATCATCCAAGCCCTCCGATTTCCTCACAGCTACTAATCATATCGATACAGTAAAGACCAAATGCAAGCGCCGAACCCTTCAGCCGACCGGTATCACGAACCCAAGATCCCAGCCGCCTCTATGGCTCCTTTTCGAAATCGATCTCATCCCAAAACTGCCCCGAACCTACATGAAGAAGCCTTGCAGAACGTCGCATGCTCCGTCCTTCCAGGCGTGCGTCCAGCTTCCGTGCCTTAACGGAAAGTCCTCCCCGACTCCATCGTTGAAGATGCCCTGAAAGGCGAAGCCCTGAAGATCTGAAGAAGCCCAAATCTCGAACGCGATAGACATTGGACAGAATCCGCCGTCG